GATGAAAAGTGCGACTCCACCAGCATGCTCGTCTGAAACTCCGATATCGTAGCTTTAGTGCCACGCGCCCAAAGACGCCACGACTGGGGATTGTACCAGTTCGAATACATGTACATCCACACGTGAGGCAGGTCGTTCACGCTGCAGAATGTGAACATTTCGACCACAGCATTATGGCGCAGAGTTGGCTCGTCCTACACGACAATAATATGAATTGCTGATTACTTTGAATGTTCAATAACATTCAAACCTGTCCCGTAAGGAATGGATGCTGTTTGAAATGCCTCTTCATGATGTGCAGAACCTCCTGACAGTGTCCCTTTCCTCCAAAGTGTTGTCCGTCGGTGGATGTAGTACTACTGCCTCTATATTCACCAGTGCCCTCGACGGTGTAAATGCCGGTGCTTTCACCGGTGTTGGCGCCGTTGAAAGGACGGATGCAGTCAACGGTGTGTCCATCGTTCATGTCAACGTCGAAATAGCCCAGCACTACCCATGTCATTAATATACATATTTCACCGCAATATGTAATACTCGAGGTGTCCGTATGCGAAGTGCCCAAAGCGCCATCATCACAATCCCTTACAGCACTTGTCGTTGGTCTAGCACCGCCGTGGAGAGGAAATGGGGGAAAATCCCCCCCCCCCCCCGAAATTGATGGCGGTAGGGGGTGCGCCTCGATCATGTTGTTGTATCTACAATGTGTGATGGAATGCTTTATGTAGGAATGAAACGTACGTTGACATCATCGGCAACGTTTGCTGCTGTGAAAACCTCGACCTCACAGCCCTATCTAGATGCCATAAGCACAACTGGAGATCGGCTTCCGGCCAAGTCGATCGAATAGCACTGATTTGGCTAGAGTCTTTGTCGAGGTGAACAAAGCGTGGCGCCAACTGAAAATGGTCGCGTAGGAACGCAAACCATTGCGCCAAATACGCAATGCGAATGGTTTTGAGATCTAACACAATATAAGGTAAAAGATATTACTATTATATGGAGAATGCATTAATATTACTGTTCTTTTGAATGAACATGTATGATACCGGGTATCCTTCACCGCGAAACGATATGATCGCCGCATACATTTCGAAGTTCCCGTTCGTCATTCGATGTGTTGAGTCGATGACAAGCTCTGGGACAAAGGATAAGTCCCCGCATTCCAATTGCTGGCAGACGAGCTCCGCGAACTTGTCCAGCATTACCGCCATGCAAAGGACTTTCCTGAGTCCGAGCGGGTGTAGTATCTTGAAGGTACTTGATTGTGATTCGCCAAGATACGTAACGGCTGAAACATACGGATCTTGATTGCGTTTAAAATCACCTCCATGTTCTAGACAAATATTAAAGTACTGTACGATCACGCTTGCGCTACACAATACTACAACTACCTTTCGCCACTGGTACGAAATTTGATTGATCGAAGGAATTGAAATAGGATTACCCTTTTCCTTCAAATTCAATAGGGAGTCCCGAATTTTCGATGGCGTTAGATCATGGGCGTGCTCTTCAACGAATGCTTGGACAAACGAGAACAAGGGTCGGGCCACCGCGTGTCCAGGATGGGGAATATCGTGCCACAACGCCACAAAGATGTAAAGATCAATTGACGCAATCGACAATCGACCTAATGGCGTCATATTAGTTTGTACAATATTTTTGAGCGGTTCGTATAAGGAAATTACCATTACAGTTGAAGAATGCCTTCGATACTACGTTACGCCGCTTGTCGGCAGGGACTTGGCGAGAACTTTGGTTGTAGTTGTCCTTGCGGAGCTTGTCGCAGTCACTGCGTTGGGCGCAGCGAAACGTTGATTGTAGGATGGGATACGGATATCCCTTCAGCAGCGTTGTCTTATTTTTCCTAGCCCAATAATATTAACTTTAGATAGCTACAGGTATACGACACTCGAAAATTTAATGATAGTAATAATATATTTTACCGGAAGGAGTAGCCGTTGAGATCACGAAACTGATGCAGTACGCGGGACACATCGCCGTCATGAACTGCAGAGTCAACTCCCTGGCTTGGCCTTGCAATGCAAGTAATCACGCGTTGTCCGCAATGCTCCGCAAAAGGATCACCAGGCTCCTCTGCATACTCATGCAACGACGCAAACGACGACGTCACGTAGAGTTGATCCGACGTTTCGAGAAAGTACGTGTTCTCCGGAGTAGTGCGGTGGCGTTGGGTAGCCCTGCACCCATAGCACGTCTTCAATGGAAGATTAGTCGTACCGTCGACATAGAGCTCCCATGGTGCAAGGGTGTTGCATCGGTTGCATTGCAACAAGCAACTGTCGTACACTGCGTCCATGCCCGGGCTTGAATTTGAATGCGTGTCAATTATCAGGCATGTGGTCCATCCAACCGTTTTGATCCATTTTTAGAGGTACATATAATGTTATAGAGTTTTCGATACTTTGCTATCACCGATTGGTTTCACCGTTGTTTGCATTGCTGTGTTCATCGACGGCGGCACTTCGTAAGAGTGGTTATCACCGGTGAAACCCCCCATCACAATTTGCTGTATGGGTGGTAGAAGTGGAGATGGAAACGACGATTTGGCGGAGCTATTTTGTACGAAAACGGAGCGGAGGAGGACAAGCATATGTTTTATTTATAGCCAATGAAATTTGAGTACCACTTATCCGAACCAGATTCCTCGGCCGTCAAGCGGACTATTAATGGGATTAGCGGAATTTGCCCGACGCTCGTCGTGCACGAAGCCTTATAACCGGATGCCGGTCGTGCAAAAACCGTATAATGAATTTTGCTTCCAGTCGTTTGTCATTGGTTGAACGATCGGTTTTTAAGCCAATCAATGTACAGTTATACCTTGGGTTTCATTACAGGGTAGCCGCCGCTGCTACCACCGCAAGACGGGCTTTTAAAAGCCTATATATATATCTAGCACTTGAAGCTGCATCAGAGCTTGGCCAACAAGGAAGCCCCGTGAAGTGTTCCGTCGTTATGTGACTGTAGGATTCTGACGTGTTTGCCTATTTGGCGCCAAAACAGCGGTGGGCTATTTTCGGCATAATTGTCATTTTGTACGTTCACGACGCCGAGATGGGCCACGGGTCGTCGGTTCACTCGATGAAATTCAATTCCATCCGCTCTACGAGCCGAAGGAGGTCCATCAGCGGCAGGCGGCCGTCCATCACTCACCCACCGACCAAAAAATCTCACGACACAGAAGACAGTGTCCTCGGTCCAACGTACGACAAAAGCGACGGAGGCACGACGCTCGTCGAAGTCCCGTCCGATTTTGCCACGTCGGTCCTCCCCACGCACACCAAGCTCCTGCTGCCTCTCGTTCAAATGGTACTGCAGAGCCTTCCATCGGGTGGCTGACAAGTTCGTTCGCAGGGCGTGGACATCCAAAGCCACAAGATGACTGGCCACGGCGTGTTTCGAGGGGACGCGTACAGGTGGCTGCTGGTCCAGCTCGAGCTCAAGGTGTCCGTGGCCCAAGACTGCATCCATTCGTACGTTGGCCACTCCCAGCGCCTCGACCTGCGCGGCCATCCGCATCTGTTCATCGCCGCCGACTACGTCGACTTTGTGTGCTCTCGGTCGGTGCCAGCACTTCTCGACTGCGTTGGCCACGCCACGTGGAACATGCTCACGGACGTGCCGACGCACGCCGTGCGCACGACCAAAGTAGTTTTCGAAACCTGTCTTTGTAGACATTTGAGTGTGGTGACGAGGCCAGTAGGTGCTGGACACGGCGGGCAAGGACATTTGCTACGTGCAAGTGCGCATCGAGAATGGACACAGGCGCAACGTGCCTGTGGTCGTAAACGTCCTGTATAAACGCACGGTCACGCCCCACCAAGTGATGGTTGTGTTTCGAACGATCCACGAAGACGACTTGTTCCCAATGCCAACCCAACCGCTGCACATTGGACTCAGTGGATGGTACGAATGAGACTCGTACATAGGTTGAGTGAGCTGTGTGTTTGCTTTGGACTAGGATGATATTCAAGCAAGGCGTGGACTCTTGTTCTGAGCAAACGCTTGTCCGCGTCCAACTTCAAGATGCAATCGCAGGACCAGACCGAAGTGCATGGTTAGCAAGCGTAGTCCAGAAGTGGTTTCAGGCCCAAGAAAGCTCGCTGCGGGTCCAATTATTGGCGAAATAAAACACATATAGTGTGGATCACACTGGAGTTGTTTATTGCGATGTACTACCATGTTCAAACATGCATAGTGCCTGTCGTTGGAACTCGCCCTATGACTTTGCTAAATCCACCTCCTGAACTCGTCGGTCAGTCGCGGTGGTGGTCCCTAGCGTTCAAGGTTCCAATGGAAATTCCGAAACCTACCAATGAAGTCGGTCCCATGACGCTCGTTGCAAAAAGTTCTTCAATGCCAATGAACGTTAGTACAATTGGAGGTACGACGCGAGTACACTTGTGCAGCAACACTGGAAACACGAATCATTTGTCATTGGGAGATGCGTGTAACGTTAAGGCCAACATCGAGGCATTTCTGGTTTCTTCAGAGTCGCCCAACTTGTTCAAGAGGGACTTTGGCTGCAGGAGGCTGCGGGAAATCGCGAAAAATGGTGTCACTTGGGCAAAACTCGCAAAATGTAACCGAGGTCAATTCGACTGGTTGACTTTCCAACGAAAATAGAATACTTTTGGCAGTTACTCAAAGTAACAAAATGTTAACAGGTGTTTGTTTACATTTTGTAAACTAACACGATTGATGCACTTTCGTGGCCAATTTTGACTCTATTTGAACGTATTTTCATTCAGCAATCTAGGAGCGTAATCTCAACGATGCGCTCTATTACATTACGTAGTACGAGACAAAGCGATATGAAATTCAAGGAGGTTTAGGTTGGGTTTTTTTAGGTTGAAGGTTGACGAAACCGACGAAACTTCAATGTTCGAGGTGTGATTAACCAACACGAAGTTCATGACTCTAATTACATACAAGTATAAATTCGTTGAAAGCTCGGTCAGAGGTCTATAGCACAAAAACATTGGAAGAATTTGGACAAAGTTTAGGAAGGTTTTTTTAGGTCAAAGTATGGAATTTTCAGTTTACATAATGTAAACTGGACTGTTTACATTTCGAAAACATTTTATATTCATTTTAAATGAAGACTTGTCCAACTTTCATTCACTATTATTATACTAGTAGTACGTTTTGCGCGTTTTCGCGACTTCCCACAGCCTCCCGAATAAAAATACACAAATATCATACAAATATCAACATAACGAAGTTCAAGCGAATAATAATATGTAACAGTCGTGCGCATGCACGCTGTTTGACTCCATGGATGTGGCAGATTCAGCTCCTGGTTGACTCGCACGTGATGACTTGAATACAGTTGCATGTATCCCCTCGACAATGGCACACCATGATTTGAAGGAATCAAGGACCTTTAATTCTTCATATTGATGTGCTTGTGTCCTGTTCCCGCATTTCCCTGAGTCTAATCATAGCCCACATTTGCCACGTACTAACGTGTTGGCAGTTATACCGTGTATGCACGTCAAGGGAGTGGGGCTTTCAAAACCAACGACGAACGACGATGGGCCACGTCTTCTCGACGAGCCGCGACTCGTTCAACTCTCTGCGATCGACGGGGCGCCAGAGTAGCAGCGCCCGGTCCGCCATGTCGTCGCGGTTCACGAGCCAAAAGTCGACTCGGAACATTTCCATTCGCGAGGCGCGACCCACCATAGCCGGCGACGGCATGAAACCAGCGCCAGCCGTGTGCCAGCCCAGCCTCATCCCGACGTCCCCGTCCGAGCCCCCCGCTGACTCGACCTCCCCCCTCGTGCAGATCGTACGATGGCCACTGATACCTCTACCATCCTAACCATGGTATAGAGTGTGGACATTCGACGGCACTCGATAACTGGCCATGGCGCGTTCAGAGGCGACACGTACGAATTTCTTCTCCGCCAGCTCCAGCCCAAGCTCGCCCTGGCCGTCCACTGCATCCACTCCTACGTGGACGACAAGGTGAGCGACCAACCGCACCTGTTTGTCGCCCCCGACTACGTCGACTACGTGTGCCACCGGGCGTGGCCGGTTCCGTTAAACCGATTGGCCAACGTACTGTGGACTGTCATGACGGACATGCCGTCGCACGCCGTTCGAAAGACAAAGGTGCGTTGACTTTTAGAAACGTTTCTGACATGTCGTTTTGGTGGTGCACGCAGGTGCTCGACACAAAAGGACACGACATTTCGTACGTGGAAGTGCGCATTGAAAGCGGCCACCGACGGAATGTTCCCGTGGTTGTAAACGTCTTGTACCAGCGCAAAGTCTCGGCCGATGGCGTGACGATCGTGTATCGAACCATCAACGAAGACGACCAGTTCCCAGTGCCGGTGCAAACGGTGCACGTTGGACTCAGTGGGTGGTACGTCGTGACAACGGTGACAATATCGTGGTGACAATGAACAGGATGGTGTTGAAGCGCGGTGACGACAATGATGCCACGTGTGTCGAGCAAACGTTTGTGCGGTTCCGACTCCCCAACGTCATCGGGCTCAACCGAAACCAATGGCTGGCAGGCATCATGCAAAAATGGTTTCGAGCTGAAGCCACCACGCTCAAAATTCAGCTCCAACTCGATGTCTAGCGCAGGAATATATTATAAACTAGTTCATGGAGAGACTTTGCCACCGATGAACGAACAGTAAGTACGTACATTGTTGCCCTCTGTTGTACCGTGCGTTTGGGCAAAACGAATGTATTGGTTAATTCTTCCATAACTTTTCCCCCATGTATCATTTTTCAGATCTGAAGGTATATACGAATATAGGAGAAATCAGTTCATCGGGTAAGGGGTTTTATAATCAATACAACGGGATATTAAAATAGATATCGTTGTTTCAAATTTCGCTCCAGCCATACATTCTGAGAAAATTAATATACTCAGAACAGCGATATTTAAATAAAAAATATTTCTGCACTTAGGCCAAAATTTATAATAATACTAGCGGGAGCACTGAAAGTCAAGTACTGGTACTACCGTACTGTCCGTTTGGGCGAGTCGGATGCAACGAAATTTTCCACTGGGCCGATTTTAACGCAGTTTTTTTTAATCTCATCGTCTTCGATCAAATATTCTGCTTGCTGAAGCTTGAAGGCCCAACTACAAAACTGTGCTCTGCGTTCGCAAGCAACGATTTCAGCGATGAAACGTAGTATTTTAATGAAGTAGACTATTTAAATAGTTATATTTGCTCAATACTTTTAATAATTTGTACCTCTGATATAGTAATACTATAGATTATTTAACTTTTATTTTATTGTATGACTTAAGTATAGTATACTTCGATGTACCTGTTTTAAAAATGCGTTTGCATTAAGTACGTTCCATTAGGTGCTGAAACGTCATTTTAAACCTGGTGGAGTTGTATTCGTTTCGAGGCAAAATAAAACCCCTCACGGACTGCACGTTAAACTCCTGAATTCAAATATACCTTTGGATCGAGGAAATACCTCCTAGGGTAAAAGTTATGGGAGAAACCATTCTTGCATTAACACATTTTCGTTTAAGATGGGCGATATTATGCTCGAAGTGGCGACCGCGGCAACACCCAATAAGAATACCCAACCTCGCCCAATTGCCATGAATAGACGACAGCCATGAGCTAAAAATAGATTTTCGCATCAACCTGCGTTGCATTTGCCATTCATTTCCGTGATATGATGGCCAAGTCTGCGGAGGTGGCCGCCAGGTCTGTCGAGACGAGCAAGACGCTGTCCACGCTCAAAGAGAACGACGAGATCACCTTGTCGTACCAGGAGGCGTTGATGGCAGTTAAGGCGCGCAAGAACTTGCGGTACCACTTCTTGTACCTGCCGTTCCCGATCGCGTTCTTCCTCGTGTTTGCTGCGTCGGCGCTCACCCACGTGCCTGTGCAAGTGATGTTCCCCACCGAGAACGGCCTCGCCACCACGCTCGTGTCCACTGGCACGGTTCGTCCCGTCGACACGAATCAGATGTGATGACGTATCACCTATACGATATATGCAGGACGCGCTGACGACAGACACGACCATGAAGTTCAAGAACATCCAAACCCAAGCGGACGTGTTCCCGTGGCTGTCCAAGACGCTGTTCCCGGCCTTGTTTGTCACGACCGACTACAACGGAAACAACGTCACCAACGACCGTCGCAGCCGCGTCACCAACGTCCACAAGCTGCTCGGCGCGGTCGAGATCACAACGTCGTCCGCCCCCGACCAAAGCTGCGGGCTGGAAGGACCGTTAAGTCTCATCTACAAGCCTTGCCACGACTTTGACAACCCCGTGGAGAACATTCCGTTCTACATCGATTCCAACGCGGACGCGGCCTCGGCCGTCGCGATGATCGCTGCCAAGCAAGCGTCAGGCACGTGGATCAGTCCGTCGACGACATTGCTCCAGATCAACGTCGCCACGTACAATGGCGAAGTGGATCTCATGTGTGTGACAGCGCTCAAGATTGCGTTCCAGCGGGGCGGGTTTGTCGAAACTACGTACAAAATGGCGTCGATTCCAGCAGGTACTATGTACTACATCCGTCAACGTCCAAGTAGTTGAGGGGGGCTGTATTTTCCTAACCGAGACTAGATCCGTACCACCATGCGAAATCCGTGCTGGCGCTCGACATTGTCGTGGGGATTTTCTTCCTCGGGACGTTGGGCGTCGAGGGGCGCCAGCTGTGGCTCCAACGCCACGGTGTGTACTGGGGCGTGTGGCGCGTGGTCGAGTGGGGGTCGCTCGTGGCCGTGCTGGCGTACTATGTGTTTTGGGTCATTCTCTGCGGTGGCATCTACGACGACACGCTGTCCAGCCAACTCACGACGCTCGAAGTGTCGGGGACGATCGACTTTTCCAAGGCGCAGGACACGACGGACCAGGGCAAGTTGCTGTTGACCAACGTCATGCAGCAGTATCGATCCATGGGCGACCTCATGGTGGCCGTCCGACTGGCTGCAATGGTCGCGCTGTTTTTGCTCACGATTCGGTTCGTAAATGTCCATCGTAAATGGGAAATGCTTGATTCGGAGATACGGATGCAATTTGATCCCAACTGATGTTGAACGATGTGGTGTTTTCTCATCCCTCTGCGATGTCTCATCTGAGTCTGATCCTTGTAGCATTCTGGGCTCGTTTCGATTCCATCCCCGGCTCAACATGGTCACCGCAACCCTTGGGGCATCATTGAACTCGCTCGGGCCGTTCTTTTTCGTGTTTGTCGTGTGCCTTGCGGCGTTCGTCACCTCCGGGTGCCTCTTGTTTGGGGAGAAACTTCTTTCATTTAGCACGATCGGGCACTCAACTGTGACGGTCGTGAACATGCTCTTTGGGCAGTTTGACCTGGCGGCCATCTTTGCCGTGGACTACCACATCGCCCTCGTGTGGTACTGGAGTGCCATGATCGTGCTGTTTCTGGTGCTGTTCAACATGCTGCTGGCGATTGTGCTGGCGGCGTTCGACCACGTGCGCGAGGAAAAGGCTGGCCCCTTGCGCAGTGTCACAGAGGAGTTTTCGATCATCGCCAAGGAGCTGATCGGCGTTGAGCACTTTTGGCACAAGGACGCGCCCAAGCGGTTTCGGCAAAGCGTGCGCGACGGCAACCTCCAGCGCTTCAACTCGAACACGCTCTCGGAGCATTTGAACATTGGCAAGGACGAAGCTATGGGACTGATCCACAACATGAAAGTGTTGTCTGTGGTAATATGAAGCCACCTCGATTTCTTGTAAGAGTCGTAGTATGATTCCAATACATGCTAGGCCGGCGCGGATTTAACCAAGGCGAAACCCAAGGACGACAAGAGCGTCGAACGACTGCACGACCGCCTCGAAACACTGGAACGAACCATCGCAATGCTCGTGTCGCAAATGCAACCACTAGCCCCCACGAAAGAAGACTAACACATATATACAAAAGACACTAGGTTCACTTGAATGTCACATTATGTCTACTTTTGGATGTTTCACCACTAAACTTCTCAGGCTTATAAACGTCTGGGAATGTCGGGACTGTGTGTAGTGACTGACACTCTACATTACTTCATGGGGATGTTGCTGAGTGATGTCGACAGGGCCGTTTTCGTGGCGGCTGGCCACGGCCAACTGGTCGTCAATCAGGTCGATCTTGTCTTGGGGCAAATTGCACTTGATCGCAACGCGTTTGGCTGTATCGAACAACGGTTTCGCCTTCTCGGGTTGGTCCATGTCCAAGCATAGTCGACCTACAAGTCATATATAAGCATGCAAAAAGGATTACGGACCATATAGACCATACCATAATTGAACCAAATACCGCAACCTTCAACGTCCATGGGTGTACACGTGGAGATCTTGTACTGCACGTGCAGTTCCAGTGCTTTCTCGTAGTATCGGACGGCATCCTTGACGTCGGACCTAATAAGATAAGGTTCATATAACGAGGGTGATATATGTTGCTTGTACAAATTGTGGCAGCATTGAGCAATCCGATCCAGAGTGATCATCCGCGTTAGCTCTGCCTTTTCCGCGGCGTTCCTGATGTACGGAATGTGTTCCAACGACTAACACAAGGAGAAGATCAAAATTGACACGCTACATGGAGAATGTACTACATCGATGTAGTACTTCTTGGCCAAGTGAAACTGTTCCGCGGCTTCGTATTGCGCGGCTATGGAAAATGCAAGTTCATGCAAGTGCCGTTCTATAAACACATGAGCTGCCACCACCATCACAATCATGGCGAAATTATACCGTGGGGACTCACAGACTGGGCAATTGCATACGCTCGTTGCGTGAGCTGTCGTGCTTCCAAAGCATTGCCTTTCTCCGCGGCGATAGTAGCTTGGTTGATGCAGTACACGATTTGATGCAACGGGGCGTCGGAGCGGTACGTATACGCCGCCACCGCGCCAAGTCCTGTGGCCAAGAAGAGTCCAACCAGCACAACTTCCTTCCTTGCCCAGCGCGCAAAGTCAGCCTTGAGCTCCTCGTAGCTCTGTTTCTGATGGACGTATCTTGAGAGAGGCCGGTGCAGAGCAACAGGCCGCGTCGCTGCTGCGAACACGGCTCGAAACATCGGATTTCTATCCCGAATAATATCCGGATAAACGTCGAATGATTGTTATGCGGATGATAGGGAGCGGCTTCTACAGATTTGGATAACGGCCGAGATACGATGGTAAAGAAGGTCGGCAAGTACGAGATCGGCAAGACTCTTGGCGAAGGGACCTTTGGGAAGTATGTTGATGAGTTCATGACGAAGCTATGAGGATGAGGATGTGACGGATATGATGGTAGAGTCAAGTATGCCGTGAACACGGAAACCGACGAGCGCGTGGCCATCAAGGTGCTGGACAAGGACAAGATCCAAAAGCAAAACATGGGTGCGCAAATCAAGAAGGAGATCTCCATCATGAAGATGGTTCGCAATCGACACGTGGTCGTGCTCAAGGAAGTGCTCGCGAGTCGCACCAAGATCTTCATTGTGCTCGAACTGATCACGGGCGGCGAATTGTTCGACAAGATCGTGAGCGAAGGGCGGTTCAACGAAGAAACGGCGCGCTTTTACTTTCGTCAGCTTGTGAACGGCGTCGAGTACTGCCATTCCCAAGGCGTGTGTCATCGCGACTTGAAACCTGGTACGTTCCCCAATCTTCTTCATCTTGACTCACTCCATGCGGCGGTAGAAAACCTGCTCTTGGACGAGAACGGCGACTTGAAGATCTCGGACTTTGGACTGAGTGCGCTCTACGAAGGCGGCGGGCCGGACGGCGCCGAAGGATCCCGCGCCAGTTTGCTCCACACGACGTGCGGCACCCCCAACTACGTCGCCCCCGAAGTACTCGCCGATAAAGGGTGCGCGTGTATGTTGTATTCGAGTTGCAGGGTATGCTCATGCATGCTGTAGCTACGACGGCCGCGCCGCCGACGTCTGGTCCATCGGGGTCATCCTGTACGTCCTCCTAGCGGGCTTCCTTCCCTTTGACGAGCCCACCATGTCGGCGCTGTTTCGCAAAATCCAAAAGGCCGAATTCTCCTACCCGTCGTGGTTTACCCCCCGCGTCAAGACGCTGTTGAACAAAATTTTGGTACAAAATTCGATCTTTTTTTATCTTTTTTGTGCGATTTATATGAATATAGCTTCCATTGGTCGCTCTGAAAATATTACTCTTCGCTGATTGGCTACAATATATATTTTTATTTGTTTTCTTTGTGTTTTCTGCAGAATGGGGACGACAGCCAATGAAATTTCGCCGTGAGAGATATTCTTACAAATAATCGCAGGCCGCATTGGAATATTTGTAGCCAACCCATCATATATATATATATTATATATATAGTGATTTCATAGTGTTTGTATATTTTGAAAATTCGTAATGTTTGCTGTTGTTTGGTGTAGGTCCCGGACCCAGAAACCCGGTCTTCGTTGGCTGACATTCAGCAAGATGAATGGTACATGGACGACACCAACAAGCTCGAGTCCGCCCCCCTTCGTGGCAGTAGGTTTTCATGGTTTGATTTTCTGACTGATCATATATATCAAGATCCACTGCCCCCGATGGTCGTGTCCATCGCTGGTGTCGGCGACGGCGAAGACGACGTGTCCTCGGCGCCGTTAAAGACTAAAACGACGTTGGAAAAGTTCAAACTCAAGCCGAGCCAAGCCGACTTGGACGCGGCCATTCAAGAGCATATTGGGGACTTGGAGATCACCAAGTCAGCCAAGGAGACGGGACCCAAGGTCATGAACGCGTTCGACCTGATCAACATGTGCGGCGGCATGGCGCTGAACCGGATGTTTCAATCTGTGGACGACAAGCGCGTGAAGCGAAGCAGCCAGTTCACGTCGTCGTTGAGTGCATCGACCATCTTGTCAGCCATCTCGGACCATCTGCAGGCGTTCCCAGGGCAAGCCATTCATATTTTGTATCCATTGAACGGGGGTAGTTTTCACATGAAAGGTAGGTGCGAAGTGGTCGCAGACTCGTCCAACTTTAAGCTCAAGGCGACGCTGCCGACCCCCAAGGGCGCCGTGGGGTGCACTGTGCACATGTACGTGCTAGCTGAGTCGCTCCACCTGGTCGAGATCCGCCGTGGCAAAGGAGATATCTTTGAGTACCACAAGTTTCACACGGCGCTCACGGAGCAGATGGCTGACCTTATCAACCCGAATTAGCCAAAATTAGCCAAGTAGTACATACTAGTACATACTAGTATGAACAAGTACTAACCAGCCAGCATGAAGTGTACTACGTAGTATGTACTATGTACTGTTAGTATTGCCTTTCTCGTACTGTACGGTAATGTGGACTTATATACTATTAATAACACACTTAATAGTATGCACACCCAGTCAGTGAAGCACTAACAGTTAGTACTACTACCGTGCACGACGAGATATATGATAGTTCCATCGACCGGAGAATGCTCTGTATTGGCAACGGAGATGCTGCTTGTTACTCATGTAGCTGGTTGAAGGGTGGGTGGGTGGGTGGGTGTAAGTCATTGCCCAAGTGGAGCCATGTTAAGTGTGGTTGTTCTCCTGAAGCTGGTGTCTTACACTCACGCGCAGTTGTTCGATCCGCTTCCGATGCCCCCCATCCTTCCCGACTTGGCTTCATGCTCATACGTTCGCATGAGTGACGACGCGCCGGCGCTGGTGTTGTGCTGTGGCCAGCGCCACGGGAACTTGGTGGCGCCTCCGGAGTGCTTGACCCAGTGTGTGCTCGAGTACGAAGAGCCCGACACGACTGTGAAGCGATGGACGTGTCCAGGGGGTGCCAACGTCACTACAGCCGACTACGCCGTACCCCTTCCTACTAACCCACCTCCCTCAAGCACCGCCCCATTCAAACTTGTCCCCCCGTCAACCCCCGCCATGATTATTGTCAGCCCTACTTTACCACAGACAACAAGTGGCCTAACGTCGCCGCCACCTCTGCAATCGACAATTACACCACGCCCAGGAACTACTACCACACGTATTGTGATCAGCACAACTGTGAGCCCCACCTCCCCGAAATTTCAATCTCCAGCTACGACACTGCAGTCGTCGGCCCTGACGACATCGTCACCTGTCACTACTGCTGGTGCAGCGTCCCAGCTCGGAAATGGAAGCAACAGCCAAAATACAGCTGCTGGTGCCACCGCCACCACCGATCAAGTCACGGCCACCTCCGAGAGTGACAAGGTTCCTTCCACCATTGATGGGCAGTCTGGCGCGACGATCACGACAGAGACTAGCAGCTGCAGCCCGTCCAAGAACGTTGCTGGAGGGATCCGAGAGATCATGGTGATGCTACTGGCGAGTTTGGCAATGGTGGTTGTAGTGTAGGAATGAGGAGGATACACTACATAGTTAACGGCGCAACATGGCGAGAATGTTCTTCCTGATTTGGCCCGTGACCGTGGCAGCTTTGCCCAATCGTCGGATGCGTTGACGGCTCTTGTCCGTAGCCAAGTGGCGCTTGCCCGCTTGGCCGCGCTTGATGTGGCCGTTGGCGTTCACAAAGAAGCGCTTCTTCACGGCCGACTTGGTCTTGAGCTTGTAGCCCATGTCCCGCACTTGCATGGACATCATGGCCGGCGGGTGCGCAAAGGCAAAGGGCGATCCTCGGGATAAGAGACCCGTGGTACACGCAAACGCAGCACTACATACACATACATCCGTGAGCATTCACGGCATCCGGCGTCGCCGGCATTCTTACCGCAAGAAAGACATCGCGAAAATGAATGGTCTAGCAATTTCCGGATAGTATCCGGTACCACAGGTTCTTGGATATCCGGATAGTTTGAACCGTTTCAGTTGTCCTTGCTGTATTTCACCAATCTCGTGCATATCTCGCCGCGGAAGCTTCGCTGAATCCGTATTGGAATCCCATTTGATATGGGATTCGGCGAAACTTCCGCTGCGAGATATGAACGAGATCACTGTGTTAGTGGATGGTGAAATGGAGCAGCGCCGTACCGTCACTCAAGAAGAGGATGCCTCCAGTATGCATAATCCTCGTGGTGCTTTGGGCTGGCGCCGTGCTGGGCCAATTCGATGGGACGACGTCGTCTCCTGTTCTGCCACCAGTGGAGTTTGGAGAATGCGCGTTTATGGGAACAGACACGAGTGGTCTCAACTCGTTGTGTTGCCAACTGCACAACAATGTTCCATTGGACGTCCCAGCTTGTTTTGGAGACACCTGCTACGAATCGAGCTTCGACCCGATCCTGCAAATTCGAAGCATGTGCTGCCTCGACTCTGGATGCTACACCACCAGGGAAAGCGCCATCACACTTGCGCCTGAAACCTCCGAACCAACGACGCAACCTGTGACGGTTAGCCCTGTTAGCACAGAAGTTCCAACGCCGGTGGATCCTTCAACTGAAGTGCCTGTCACCGCATTACCCACAACACTTGCGCCAAATGAACCACCACTCACCGAACCTCCAACTACGGAGCCACAAACGACCTCCATTCCACCTACAGAGCCACCTCTACCTCCACCCACGGAGACCCCAGTAACGAACGCTCCTATTACGCCAGCACCGCAAACTGAGCCACCGGTTTCACAAGCTCCCCCGACAGAACCTCCGACAACTTACCCTCCACCCACGAGCCCACTAACCACTGCACCACTAACGTCTCCAGCCCATTCAACTGAACCATCTATCACAGACAGTCCAATAACACAAGCACCCCCAACAGAACCTCCAGTAACGAACCCTCCAGCTACACAGACTCCGCAAACGGAACCGACCAGTGCACCAACAGAACCTCCTGTGACCAGCCCATCGGCTACTCCATCGCCACCCACAGATCCTCCTGCGACGGCTACACCTACCCAGCCGCCACCAACATCCTCGCCCACCCAACCTCCTGTGACGGCTTCACCGACTGAGCCACCAGCTACGCAATCCCCATCCACAGAATATCCTACGACGTCTACACCCACGGAGCCGCCGGCTACGTCATTGCCACGAACAGAACCTCCTACGGCGGCTACGCCATTGCCACCGACAGAACCTCCTATGACTGCTACACCGACCGAGCCACCGACTACGCAATCCCCATCCACAGAATATCCAACGACGGCTACACCGCCGGCTCCGCCATTGCCACTGACAGAACCTCCTATGACTGCTACACCGGCTACACCATCCCCACCCACAGAATTTCCTACGACGGCTACACCAACTGAATCGCCGGCTACGCCATTGCCACCGACAGAACCTCCTGTGACGGCTACACCGACCGAGCCACTGACTACGAAATCGCCAACCATAGAACCCCCTATGACGGCTACACCGACTGAGCCACCAGCGACAGCATTGCCACCAACAGAACCTCCTGCGACCGAC